CTGCGAGAGCCAGGCGAAAGGAGCGGGCGTCCCAAGCAAAGGTCCGATATGTGATGAAAAATACATGTACAAATGTGTATCAATACGTGTTTTGTGAACATGCTCAAAAAGAGTTCGTATTCAGTTTCTATAGCATAGGGTACATGATATATGCGTAATGCGACGAAAGTGGTCAGCCCCACCCACCCCCCCCATGATCTACCTTTTGCTGTTTGACGCGCCTTCAAACAGTTGTTGTGTATTGACAGGGCGCATGTCAATTGCTAGACTGCCTGCAATGCAACCCTACAGGAACCATTGTCCCAAAGTTCACTCAGGTGATGCTTCAACCACCCAGTAACGCCGAAGCACACACACACACCTATATTATATGCGAAAGGGTTTGAAACAGTATTTCGGGAGAGAATAAACAGGCCCAATCCCACCAACAAGAAGAGATTGTTTAAACCCCCCAGTCCCAAGGGCAAAGTGGTGCCCTCGGCTGGCCAAACACGAACCAAAACAGGGTGCCAGTTGTAACAAGGTAAAGAAGCCCAGCAAGGGCAGAGACAACCGAAAGCAAGCACAAAGCAGCAAACCAAGCAGGCAAACAATGCAGCGAAGCAAGCAAAGCAAACCAATGCAACCACCACCCCCAGCCTGTGACCTGCTCCAACCCGGAGCCACCCGCGGCACTGCCGGCCCCACTCCTTTTCGAGGTGGAGATGGTGCGCCGCGCCGCATGGCGCGAGTCGACGAGACAGCACAAAGGGAACGCCGTGGTTAAAAGCTTGAGCCAAACGGCGCATTGGCCGTGGCATGGAAACATGCTATGATAAAACTACATGCCCCAAAAAACACCCGCCTCGACTGTACAAAGAGATGGAGTGAATTTGGAAAGGCGCATTGGCCATTTGAAGTTGAAGAGCAACAAACAAGAAAGAAAGAGGATTAGGCTACCAGGGTTCGCAACCCCACGCCCGGGCTCGCTTTAGAGCCCGAATCCCGCCACCACCCCGAATTACGGGCATGGGGCGGATTCGCGCCGGTAGCCAAATCGAACCGGAGAGAACAAAACACGAAAAAGAACAAAGGTTCAACTCCAATATGGCAGGTATGAAATAAACTGATATTGCAATGCAACCACAGTGAATCATGAGATTCAAGTGGATATAATTTCTGAATTCAAGCTTTAGGCGCTTTGGCCTGCTGGTTGAAACATGGTGCTTTGACCACAAGACCTGGGTCTTTAATAGCACCGTCTAGGCGCGCGATCACGCGAAGACGGCCGGCACGAGTAGCACCGGCAGCCGTCAGCGGTTTAGGTCCGAGTTGGACACCTCCGGCAGCGGTGCAGCGCAATCGCGATCATCACGCCAGCACCTTGATGAGTTCCTTCACCAGCTGCATCAGCGGTTCAGGAGGATGTGAATCGCCAGCGGCCAAAGATGCCGGCGAGGATGACTGCCTTGCGGTAACAGGGCGTACCTGGCAGGACAATGTGACCGTCGCGATTAGCGCACGGTCACCCGTGCATACGAATTATGATTCGGTGAATAACCGATTTTGGTGGATCGACGTCAGGAGCATTGTCCTATATGCGTCATCATGCAATAATTGAAATTACGATGAGATCATCGAAATGTGCAAGTGCGCATTGGCACTTTTGGGTACGACTCAGCGCATGCAGAAAGGGCATCATTTGCCCCTGCCGCCGCCGCGTCGTCCCCTTCCCTTCCCAACGTTCCAATCCCCGGGTGGGGGATCAGAAGGCTCGGTTTCAGCCAACTCATCATCATCACCCCAAGTTCGGGTGTGTGGTGAATGAGGGTTCATGTATACACCGGGATTATCCGGCGGAAACTGCGACCAACCCTGCAGCATTGCGCCAGCCCACATCTGTGGCATCATGCCAGCCATAGGCTGCTGCATGAAGCCCCCCATTGGGAATGTTGGGTACATGGGACTAGGATACGGAAAGGGAGCGGCTTGTGCGCCCTTGTATCCCGAGCCGCGAGCGTCGGGCTGGTAGTTGCCCGTCGGCGTTCTCGACCGGGCGGATCCGCCACGGCCGTACTGCTGGCCGTATTGGCCGCCTTTGCCCTTCTGCTGGTCACCCTTGTGACAACCTTTGAATTGGTCAGCTTTGTGACCTTTGCCCGCGTTCGGGTCCCCCTTTGGGACCCTCTCCTTTGGGCCAGGAATCTCCCTTGCCCTTCTGGTCCGGTCGCATCGAAGCGGAGCGATTATCACCCCGAGGCGTAGCCGCCCGTCTGTGATGCTTCCCAGTTGGAGCATCCGCAAACGTGATGGCGCCTTGGCCATCGCGCTGCCCAGCGGGAACCATTTCGACCTTATTCAGGTCGGTGTAGATGTATGCCTCAGCATACTCAATTGGGACAGTTATTGTCCCACCACCGCCCCTCAGGGAGTCAATGCTCAACCTGAGGGTCTCGGTGATGTCAAAATTAACATCTTCGGTGGTGAAGTCCGCGAGGCGTCGCTCGGCTTGGACCATGGACATGATCACATCCTCCCGAGAGGCGCCTAGGCCGTACAGTGGGACGAGGAAACCGTCCTCAACACCGATGCGGTATGCATCATAAATATATACAGAAAGATAAAAGGTAAAAGCAGATTGGAGACGGCCTTTCCTTGTAATGTGGCGTCCCCACTGTGCCGCGTGTTGCGGGTGGTCGATCAAGTACGCCAGGACAGTCAAACCATCAGGAACTGGGTTTCCAGTTTCGCTCTCCTCGATGAGCAGTTGCTTTGCCACCCATCTTTCAAGCGCTTCATCACTCGTTCTCACACACGAGTGGGTGTCCATGTTGGTGACTTTCTCCACCTCATGGAACGCCACCTCAACAATATCCGCATTGGGATTGTGTACGAGGTATGGCGCACAGCGCAAGCCAGAGATCATGCAACTGACCACCTCCCGGATCGGGTTTACCGACGCCATCAGAGGGGCCCAGCTGCGCGTTTCCGCGTATTCCCAGCTGTTGGGCAGGACTGCTTTGAGTCCGTCCACCCACGTTGGCTGTCCACGCCTGATTTGAGACTGAGAAGTCCCAGGAACCCACTCCCGATAGAAGATGGGCAAATGGCAACCATTGCATAGAATGGTGCCGTACAGGTTCAAATGTGCACAACGAGGGCACCAGTAGTCATGCATGGGAGCTTTGTCACCCCTCGCGGCGGACCCGGGACAACCGGGGCCCGAATCGCCCACGGTCGGATGTATATTACATCCCCCTCCTGGTGCAAGTAGCATGCACGCCAAAAGGGTGCGTGAATTTCCTCACGCACGGCAATGAAACCGCGTCGGGTTTTGTATATGCCCGCGGCGCCCTCAAGCGCCAGCCATTTCAGGTCGATCGCCACGACAACATGGCGCTTGTCCATGTATGCGGCACGTTCATCGACGTAAAACTCGCCCTCATTATTGGGGCTTGGCAACTTAAGGAGAGGCACCTTTGCGCCCTCCATGCCGATCTGAATCTCCCCCCTGCAGATCTTGTCAGGCCGCATAGGGAAGACTTGAATGGCGAATTTGCCGGGACGCCGGATGCACCTCGTTTTGAGGGCAGCTCTATACTCGGGCATGGAAAGCAGCACATATCCCGTATAAGGGACCTCCGCTGCATCCATTGGCCTCAGCAAGGGCCCGATCGGAGTACGATCGCGTAACGCCCAGCGCTTGAAAACCTTGTATGGCACGTCCCTCCCGATTAGGGTGGAACGTGCAAAGATCACTTCGCTTGTGACCACTGTTGGGTCATCTTCCCCCCAGACTCTCCGTATTAGGAGCTCCACTGGGGGGTAGGCAGGGTGCTCCCGTGCGAGAGCACCCGCCCACCTTGCCACGTCAAGGCCTGTGCACTTGACAATCCCGTGTAGGGCTTCAAAAAGCATGGAGATTAGGGGCATTGACATCCAACCTCCAAGTATGTCGGGAACCGTCCCGCACAAGCGGAAAGACGGATCACCAGGCTTGACACTTACCAAATTTGGGTCCGTGGAACCTGACAAAACCTCTAGAAGCATATATGCCTCTCTGGAGCATCGTCCGGTGACCATTGCTGGGTCGGCGATCTCAGGGAAAAACCCGAAGATACCATCCCCAGCAGGACAGGCGATTCTGCCATATGTCCTGCTCGAGGGGTCCAATAGGACCTCCTCGCCTTCGTAGGTAAAATTGTAAGTGCTTGCAATTGGACACACGGCGGGTTTTACCATTGCCGCGTCCTCAAGCGACGCACCAATCGGGAGAAGACCGGACTCATGCGCTTTGGCACCAGTCGGAGCACTCCCCTCAGCCATTCGCCGATAGTTTTCGGCACGGAAGAGAGGAAACAAGTGTTTCATCCTACCAATCTCTTCCTCCGTTGTACGCCAGGCCTTTGCCTCATAGTACGGCGGTTCCTGCTTTGAGGGAATCAGATCTCTGCTCTCCATTTCGGAGAACTTGGCAACGAATGGCCCAATGCCATCGTCCTCGACGTGACTTTCGAAGTCTTCGTCTGAGATGTACTCTCTGGGCGGCTCGCCCAGTTCGTCCAGGTCGACCTCTTCAAGGTCAATAAGAGCCGGAGAGTCCAGGATTTTCTGGATCCCCATGAGCTCACTTCTGAATTTCTCAAAATCCCGCGGTGCGGTGGTCACTGAGGACGGCATAGCGTCCTCCCAGGACTCTGGAAACATGCACATGTTGGTGGGGGAATATTCATTATCGGAAATATCCCGATCACGATCCCTCACATCGCTAATCAACGTCGCATCCCAGAAGCCGCATTGGGCCCCTGGTTGTGATGCCGTTGCGGGAGATGGCACTGCGCTCTTTGGCGCTTTGGCCGCCTCTTTGGGCGCCTTATTCTTCTTGCCATCACCCCTACTCCCTTCATTGTCTACGTCCATCGCAGATGATTGCCCGCTCCCACTTGCCCCGCCCATTGGCGGTTCGGGAGCCTTAATGGATTCTTTTGTACGGGCTTTGCCTGCGTACGAACCTGGCACCT